TTAAGGATCAGAGATGATCCAACCTAAAGAGCAAGCTTCCTTTGAACTTCCCGAGCTGCAGCACCATTTAACAGAAGTGAGGTGATCGAGAAATGTGGGAGGAAGAGGAAGAGGAGGGAAAGAAACAGGAGAAAAGGGAGCAAACTGCCTTCAGTTCATTCTCCCTAAAATGCAAATAACCCAACATTTTCCCCGTGTGCAAATGCTACCTCTTCTGAATGAAATGGCACTGGAATGGAATACTGAGGAGATATACTTTTATTTCACACTTGCAGGGGTGAGGGAGCATCGGTACTTACAAGGCATGACATACAAAAGAAAAAGCAATTCCAAGCAAGGCGAAGCTCATACTTTCTCAAGGGCCCCCACATACGCACACACAACACATGTAACACTGGAGGAAAACGGCAGTACAAACAAAACACCCTTGGACCAAAATACACACCAGGACCTGATACTGACCAGCATAATTTTCTAAGTTACTTACTTCAGTGGTAAATAAACATCTCTTAAAAACACATTAAATAAAACACTATCAATCATTAGGTAATATGAACATCCCCCAAGCTTCCTAATCCCTACGAATAAAAATAATTCTATCTGCATTACTTAAGTACATTCCTTGACTTGTGCAAAGAAATAAAAGCAGCTCTGTGATGTCACAGGTTAAAGGTCATACCAAATCCATGGAGATACTTTATCTTCAGGTCCCTTTGGACTTCCCTGGAAAGTACCTACTCCATGGATCTCTATCCCCAGCACCCACCCTACACACTTTTTTTGGCCATACTGGGATTTGAAAAGATAACGAGGAACGTTCCAGTGAAAGAATCAAGCTGACAACTCCTGGGCCTGTAGTTCAATCTTAGCATCACTGAAGCAAGTGACATCTTTCCCCAAAACAGAAAAAGTTGAACCTGTCTTTACAGAGCACCAGCTTCACCATTCCCCAGAAAATAGGAGGGGCAGAACATATTAAACACCACCACAAACCTAAAACACAGGACATTCTAAGACCTACAACCCAGATAATTTGAACAAACAAGAGCCCCAGAATGAGGAGAGGGATGTCACAGACTCAAAGAGGCTTAAGAAACGTGTCAGGGCTGGCGGAGCAGCACAGTGGTGCCACCAAATAGATGGAACACACAATGTATGGAACTTGACTTCACATCCTCACTGAAACTAAAGAACTGTAAAAGACATAATCCTCATGAAATTAGAAGAAGAAAGTAAACCCAAAGCTAGCAGAGGCAGGAGATAAAAGATTAGAGCAGAGGTGTACAAAATAGGGACTAGAAAACACTACCAAAAAATAAACTAAACAGATTTTTTTAAAAGATCAACAAAATTGACAATCCATTAGCTAGTTTAGGAAAAAATGAGAGACTACTCAAACAACTAAAGTAAGAAATGAAAGAGGGGATATTATAATTGATGCCACAGGGGCAAAGAGACTGGAGGTGTGGCTCAAGTGGTAGAGGAAGCATGAAGCCCTGAGTTCAAACACCAATCCACAAAAATAAATAAATAAATAAATAAAATAGAAAAACCCTGTTAGAATAAATGAATTCAGCAAAGGTGCCAGGATATAAAATCACTATACCATACCTGTTTCTGTACACTAACAATAAACAATCCTAAAAGGAAATGAAGAAAACAATTTCATTTACAAAAGCACCAGAAAATATGAAATACTTAGGAACCAAGCTAACCAGAGAGGTGAAAGATTCACACAATGAAAACGATAAAACACTTCATGGGTTGGAAGACTTAATATTGTAAAGGATGTCCAGACCACTCAAAGTGGTTAACAGAGTCAACACAATCCCTATACAAATCCCAAAGGCATCTTTTTCAAAAGTAGAAAAATTCATCCTAATGTTCCTATGGAATCTCAGAGAGCCCCACAGAGTCAAAACAATATTGAAAAAGAAGAACAAAGGCAGAAGATTCCTACCTCCTGATTTAGAAACATATTATAAAGCTACAGTAATCAAAACAGTGTGATAATGACATAAAGACAAATACATCAATAGAAGAGAATAGTAAATCCATACTTTACTATTTCTATAATAAAAGGTTTAAAACAAACTAAATAAGAAAAAAAAGGATGGATGTTTAGAATGAATGGCAGTAGAATTTATTGAGATTTTTAACAATAGCATATCACAAATGCTATTGTGGATTTTAAAAAAGCATTACATTTAAATTTCCATCTAACAGATATAAAAAGAACTTTAATCAAATGGAAAGAATGATCAAGTTTCAAGTAAATTTTCTCCATCGTCTTCCCCAGTCACAAGCAGTAGTAAGACAAAGAAGATAAATGGGTTGGCCGGGCACTGGTGGCTCATGCCTGTAATCCTAGCTGCTCAAGAGGCAGAGATCAGGAGGATCTCAGTTCGACGTCAGTCTGGGCAAATAGTTCTCGAGACCCTATCTCGAAAAAACCTTTCACAAAAAATGGCTGGTGGAGTGGCTCAAAGTGAAGGCCCTGAGTTCAAATCCTAGTACCAGAAAAACAACAACAATGAAGAGGATATGCAGATTAAGAACACTGAACAGAGAGGCAAAATACCATGGGGGAACTGTTCAGCAGGGCAATACCGGACAGTAAGGGAAAAACTTCTGCTGCGAAGACATCTGTGCAGTTAGAGAACACAAACCAGGCATGAGAGGGGGTTGACGCTCTTCTCCAATACACAGGACAGACCCGTCTGTTATAGAAAAACAACTGGTGAAACACAGGCTTCAGAGTGGATGAAGCGTACACTGACCACAAAACAGCATCTAACACAAAAAGGACAGACAGATTTAAAAAGGGGACTTCGATGTCTGATCGGAAATGTCACTACGAATCCCGCCCCCCAATAATGAATATATCCTAATAAAAATCTATAATAAAAAAGGAGGGGGGAACTTGATGAAAGCTAATTTCACCAACCCAGGGCACTGATGAGAAAGATCCAGAAATCAAGAAACTGGTAAAAAAAGAGAAATGTGGGTAAGTCAAACACCATCAGCGGCAGCAGATAGGAGTGAAATGATCCTAACTTGCTTAGCCTTGTGAAATCAAAACAAATAACTGAATGATTCCCAAATGGGGCTACATCACAAAGGGTATTTGGAAAATTGGCCTTCCTGAGGCTGGAGGGATGGCAAGCCTGGGAGTGGTGCCCAGAAGGAAGGCAGGGAATGGAGCATCCCTCCTAGTATCCCACCATCTACAAAATGTGCGTTCTACACCAGGGAAAAAATGAGACTATGGAAGTCTTAACTCAAAGACTTTTTTTTTTTTTTTTTGGCAGGTCTCAGGCTTCACACTTAGAAAGCAGACTGCTTAAGTCATATCTTCAGTCCATTTTTCTGTGGTTATTTTGAAGATGAGGTCTCACAGACTGTTTGCCCAGGCTGGCCTCAAACCACGATCTCCCAATTAGCCAGGATTACAGGTATGAGCCACCAGTACCCGGCTTCAAAGACATTTCTTAAACTTGAGTGGATGGCCCACTGTCAATCCCTTAGCTGCCCAGGAACGAGGAGGCGTGGTCTCCCATTATACACCAGGAGGACAGGAAGATAATGAAGAAACCGTGTCTGCCAGGCAGACCATACGTGGGAGACCAATACAAGCAGAAAGGAAGGCAGTCTCACAGCAGCTGTGGCTGTGACAAGTTACTGGACCCTGGTAGCAGGCTCCATGCTACCTGCTCACATGCCCAGCATTGGCTACTCTGGAAATTCTCTGTTCCCCAATGCCCAGCAGAGTTCTTTACTAGGTCCCAAAGTGTTAAAAACAAAACAAAAAAAATTAACATAAATCTGAGTGCTGACTGCATACACTGTGCCACTTGGGACCTCATACACTTATCTCAATAATGGGAGTAGATTAATAAGTACTCCCATTTTACCTTCAGGTCACTGCCTGATGCTGCCCCACAAGTGAGCAGCAGGGTGAGCCCACCCATTAGAGGGCACCTGTGCTCCCTGTCACAAAGACAAGTTACCCAGCAAGACAGCTCCACTGGGCCTAGGCCCTCTTCTCAGTGAGGCCTTTTCTAAGAGGGGTGCTTAAGCCATCCCAAGGTCAAAGTCTCTCTTGTCTCTGGCAAGGGTGAGGCTAATAGGTTTGGCTTCACTCCAGAGAATAACCCCTGCTTGTTTTTATGTGTGCCTAGGAATGGCCTGATCATTCTGTGGCCAGAGCAGGAAGGACAGTCCTGGCATTCAGACTCAAACCTGGGTGAGGACTAGGGGCCTGTTTCCTGATGTCTTCAAATATGACTGACAGCCTTCACTGAAACCAGCAAGTCCCTTACAGGCCCTGGTCCATGTAGTTAAGGGGAAACTGAAGTCAGTCTCCAGCAAATCCCTGGGAAGGAACAGCAGGTTCTAGGGGCTTGGTTGTTTTCTTTTTGCATTTATTTAATGTAGAATCCTGTACTCACCTGTAAGGTACTTAACCATCAGACTGCAGGAAGAACTTTCATCAGGAGGTAGAACTGGTATCTAGCCCCAAATCTCCAACATATATATGTATGTTTGGTTCTTTCTGTGTGTGGTTTTTTGTTTGTTTTGGTGGTAGTCCTGGGCATGGAACCCAGGGTGTGGCACATGCTAGGCAAGCGTTCTACCATTCAGCCACATCTCCAGCCCTCCAACATTCCTGTCATACTGCCAGTGTCCTCACTCTTTGCCTTAGCTTCCCCATCTCTAAATAGGGAAGCAGCTTGTCCCTGATTACGTTACCCAAGTGCTGTATGAAATGTAACAGGGGAGGCAGAGCCTTGTGAGGGCCTAAGAGCAGCAGTGCCACCAGCACTTACCATGGTCTCACTATCTCTTCCTACACCATCCCAGCCCAGCAGCCCATCACCTAAGGCCCCAACAGGAGGGCCCTGTGTTCCTGTGGGCTTTGTTGATACCTGAAATAAAGGTGACTCTGACAGAACTAAGGAGGGGGTCTCCCACCTCGCCTGCTCCCCCACATTACCTACCATGTCCAGAAAGGCTCTGTACCAATGATTCTGGAAACCATCTATGTTCTAATGAGGGCTAAACACCAAGAGGGAAAGGATCCTGCTGCTTCCTGACTCCACACTCTAGAGGTGTCCATTTCCAAACCCCACACTGCAGCTCCTCCCTGTGAGGTGTGTAGGAGGGCCTCACGCAATCCCAACTGGAAAACATGCAGGTTCTCATTTATGTGACCTCAGTGGCCTCACAAGTGCATATCAAAAAGCAATTGATCATCTAAAGCAGCCTGAACTTGCTAGGCAGCCCCACTACAAATCACTGTTCATAGTGGGCTGAGGCCAAGGGGGCACCAGCAAAGCTGGTTGGGAGAGGCTGGAGGGGCAAAGCAGGCAAACCATTCTGGAGAGGAGCAGGGGTGAAGAGTGAGGGGCAAGGGCAGGGCAGGGGCACTCAGGGCAGGCTTAGGGTGCCCGCTTCAGGATAAGCTCTGTGATCTCTGCCCTGCTCCCCAGCCTCATGGGTATCCCATAGTAGGCCGTGCCCGGGCTGACATACACAAATGTTCCTTGGGCCACTCGGTAGAGACCAGCAAAGAAGGGGTTCAGGAGATACACTGCCACATTCATGGGAAAGATCTGCCCTGCATGCGTGTGTCCAGAAAGAATGAGGTTTATATCTGGGTGTGCCTGGAGGGCTCTCTTAGCAGCCAGCGGCTGGTGAGCAAGCAAGATGGTGGTATGGTCTGGGCTACAGCCCTCCAGAGCCTTGTCCAGGTCCATCCCATGGCCAGAGTAGTGCAGAATGTCTGCTTCAATATCGTCCACCCCTGCCAAGCAGATCCAGTCATTGTCTTCCTTAGCATTATGCTGGGCCCCAGTGGCAGAAACCTTCACATTCTCATTGTGAAGAGGCCGGACATGCAGGGATTCCAGCAGTGCAAACCAGTTACTGACGTCCGACGTGTAGTACTCGTGATTGCCTGTGACAAAGTAGGTGCCGAGGCGTGAATGAAGTTGGCCCAAGGGAGTGACAGCCGTCCGCAGGACTGAGGCTTCAGAATCAGAGAGGTCACCCACGATTACTGTGATGTCTGGTTCCAGGGAGTTCACCATCCTCACAAACATCTCCATCTTGGTCCTGCCCACTGTGGGCCCCAAGTGAATGTCTGAGAGAAGCACAATCTTGAGGTTGTTCATAGAGGGGGGCAGCTGATGAATGGGTACCTCCACGGTTTTCACAGCTGGGGGTTGGGCAGCATTCAGAAGTCCCATTACACTGAGCACAGCAGTCACTACCACTGCCAGGGCAGGCCTGAGAACCAGCTTCCTCGTCTTGTCAAGGCTGCCCACAATTCTACCACTGCGCCAGGCCAAGAGCTGGTAGGCCTGCTCCACGCTATTGAGGATGCAGAGGAAGAAAAGCATGATGATGTAAGCACCCAGGCAAGAGTAGGCTACCAAGGAAAGGAGATAAGGCTCCTCGGCCACTAAGAAGAACATGGTGAAGAAACTGGAATGGGCCAGGGCCAGAAATGCCACGACGACCAGCTTCCAAAGCTGGAAACAGGTCGACTCCCCCACTGGGGAGTGGCAGAGGTTGCTCACTGTGCAACGCCAGATGTAGAGGGAGCCAATAAGCATCAGTGAGTTGACAAACAAGGCAAGCTGCAGGCGAAACAGCCAGCGCCAGGCCCTGACCTCAAGGCTCTCTGCCAGATAGGAGCGGGAGACGATCATGGACACGAAGACAGTGACAGCAGCCAGGGCAGCCTTAGAGCCCAGGGATAGCTGCCGGAAGAGCACCATTTTCTCTGCTCCTGAAGCGTCCCCACCAGTTCTGTGCAGGTGGGCACTGGAAGGCGATTTCCTTAGAAAGGACAGTGGCCAACGAGAGGATTCCAGGTCAGCTCCGCCTGCAACCAGGAACCGGCATCAACTTTGTGGGATATTAGAGCAACCCTGTCCCCATTCAAAACCCAAAGGCCACTTACATCTGTCCAACCTGCCTGGAATCCAAGTCACTCAGTTGCTACACTTTATTATTAAAATACAAACACAGGATGGTGACACGATGGGAGGTTTCCATTTTCTTAACATATTCTGTAGTTTAAAGTTTCTCCATTATAGCATAAACTGTGGTTTGTTTGTTTTTTTTTTTAATAACAGGAAAAACATTATTCTAAATTAGGGCTTCTCAAAGGCTTCTCAAAGTGTGGTCTGGGGAAATGCTTTCAGAAAGTCCATTTAGACAAAACTATTTTCATGATACTAAAGCCATCACTGCCTTTTTCATTATCCCTCGTCATGAGTGAACAGTAGAGTTTTCCAGAGGCTATGTGACATGTGATCTGACAACAGACTAAATGCAAATATAGATATAATGCAACTCCACCCTCAAAACTGTGGGAGAGATACTGTTAATTTTCAAAAAATACATTATTTATTAACATGTAACACATTTATTACTTAAGAAAATTAATAGTATCTTAAAATTTCACTTAGGACAGTTACTGTTTGAGAACCTGCTGTTGCAAATAAATGCAAACAAGGAAATAATGGAAAGCTAGTCTGTTGGTATAATCCTTCAGTTCTAGGCCCAGAGGCCCAGGAGGGAACACCTAAACACTTAAGAATGCCTGGGGTGATGCCAGCTTCTCTGTGTGGGCCACCTAATGACGCTGCACAAGGCTCCTGACCTATCAGGGCTGCTCGGTCCACCTGCTTCTCCTCTGTAAATACTGATCACTTCCCTCCCACTCTGATATTAAGATCTGTTCCCCCCCCCCCAACACCACCTTCATCACTGGCTCTCACAGCTGGCTAGCTCAGACCCAGGGCTCCTCCAGGCCCGCAATCAAGAAAACTTTTGTCTACAAAAAAACGCAGGAGAACCACAGATGGGAGGAGAGGGAGCAGCAAAGACTTAATTCGGCATGACCTTCTCCCAAAGTGAAAACATTCTCAGCAGCTGCTTTCTAAACACTTAAAAATTTAAATCTTGGCTTTAGACAGATGTACGACTTTTCTCTGCCCTTGGCGCATATCGATAGATAGCCTTTTATTGAAGGGTGTAACTTACAGGTCAAAGGGCTCAAATTCTACCAACTAGTACTTAAAATATACCTCAGATTCAGCCCACCTGAACGCTGGAGTCACCGAAGTTGATTCACAGAACACGCAGAGGGGTGATCGCTTGGGTCAACCACTCCCTCTCCTTTCGGCAGACGCGATGCTCACTTCCCCGGTGCGCCCCAAAGCCTCATCTACTCGCCTTTCCAGACCTCGCTCCAGCAACGCTGGCGCTCACCTGCAGCTTGCCTCTTCCCACCCTCCACCAGATCGCCAAACCCTACAGGAAAAGGTTCCCACGAACGCGATGGTAAAGCCAGCGGCGGGAACTGGCGAGAAGCGGACAAGCTGTTTGCAAGGGAAGATCGCCCCGCAGGAAGATGCGCGGGTGTTCCCATTGCGGGGGCCTCTCCTGACCCCATTTTTCTCCTTCCGGAGCGCTCCGCAGAGCACCGACTAAGCAAGGGAGGGCGCCCCGCGGCCGAGCCCGCGCGCCCCGCAGCAGCCCGCGTAGCGCGGGAGTCCCTCTCCCAAAAGTGGGAAGATTTAGGCGCCTCCTCCACTCCCCACCTCGTTGCACCGATGGGGAAGTAGGTCCAAGCGAAGGGACGACCAATGCGGAACACAGGCGACCGAGCTACCGGGAAGGGAAGGACAGGCGCCCCGCCCGGCCGGCCGGGCCCGCCCCCGACGGGAGGGCCGGTCCACTGCCTGCGCTCCGCCCGCGGCCGGCCTGCCTGCGGTCGGGGGGAATCCGGGGTCCAGGCTCCCCTCCTTGCAGGAGCGCTGGAGGCTACGGCCTCGACCCGTTCCCAGTCAGCCTGCCCTTGGCAGTGCGTCCCTGCGCAGGACTCCCGCAGACTTACGCGCAAGCGGTGCGCAGAGCCCAGCAGCAGCGGCCCCAGCAGCAGCGGCGCCAGCAGCAGAGAGAGGATGCGAACCAGGACCCCAGGCATGGCCGCCCCCCAGCCACTCCGCTCCGCTCCGCAGTGGTCACCGGGCCAGCCGCGCCGCCTCTTTTGGCTGAGGACCCGCTTGGCCCCGCCCCCGGGCCGGCTTGGCCCCGCCCCCGAAGCGGGTCCGCCCCTCGCCCCGCCCCGAGGCTCGGGAGGAGGTGAGCCTGACCACGCGCGGCCGCGTGACTCCAGCCAGTGTTATCTGGCTTTCGCCAGCGTCTCTGCGACAGGAGACCCTATGGAATGGCGATCGGGAGGCCCTGCTGTCAGCAGCTTGATAACGCGCGGGGGGCTTGGACATGGACAGGAGTCTCCTAGCTCCCTGGCTGCCTGGGGAGGACTGAAGGCGGAAATTGATAACAGCTAACCCCCAAAGCGCTAGCTAGAATCCTAGAGTCATAAAACGCTAAACCTGGGCTGGAAGGCGTGGTCCATGGTCCACGCGAATTAACACTACCTGGAATTTACTGGAAGTGCAAGCTCTGGGGCCCCAACCCACAAGGCCTGAATCAGAAACTCTAGGGAAGGGGCCCAGCGATGTCATTTTACAAACCATCCAGGTTATTGCAACACATGCTAAAGTTTGAGACACTGCTCTGGGTTACTGAGGAACTTCAGTGTGTCTCAGCTGTCACAGTTATTCCGAACGCCAATCCCCACAACACCCCGGCCTGCAGAACTTTATCAGTGGGTGTTGGGAGTGACAGCAGCAATACCTCCACCTTTCGGTTTTGCGTGTGATCTTCTGGGCATCTCTGTGTTTCAGGTGGATCTGTGAAATGGGTATGAAGTAGTATTGTTATTACATTTGGGAAAAGGAAGGATTGTGTGTGTGTTGGTTTGTTTGAGGTAGAGTCTTGCTATATAGCCCAGGCTGGCCTGGATTTCACTCTACATCAGGATCCTCCTGCGTCAGCCTCTCCAGTGTTGGAATTATAGATGTGCACACCATGCCTAGCTTTGGGAAAAGGAAAACTTTTAGTGTCCAGGGCCTCCAGAGCTAGTGTAAAGTTAGCATCTTTTTCCTGGCTGGTTCTCTAGTTCTCTAAAAATCCCATTGTTCCCCACCCCATGCACATTTCAGCTTTAGTCAAAACTTAGAAGGAACCTTTAGTGAGGTTACTTTTAAATTATTGTGCTTTAAAATATGGCAGCTTTATTGAGTTATAATTTACATACCATAATATTCAATCATTTTATATGTTGTCTAATTTTATTGTGTTAATTTCTTATTTTTAAAAATAAACGTGTGGTTAAATTATGCTGTTGACAAAGACTCTCTCCCCTGACTATACTTTAGTTAGTTTTTTGTTTTGTTTTGTTTTTCCAGTCTTGGAGTTTGAGCCTTGGAGTTTGAGTCTTGGGGTTTGAGCTGTCCTGGCCACACACTTTCTAGACAGGCACTCTACCTCTTAACCCATGCCACCAGTCTTTTTTTGTTTTAGTTGTTTTTCAGGTAGGTTTTTGCTTTTATGCCCCAGCTAGCCTGTACCTCCATCCTTCTGTTTGCACTTCCATGTACCTGGGATTACAGGTGTGCACCACCATACCCAGCTTTTTCTTTTTTTAATTGGTTGAAATGGGGGGGGTCTCTCAAAAATTTCCCCCCTCAGGCTCGCCTCAAATCTCAATCCTCCTGATCTCTGCCTCCCAAGCAGCTAGGATTACAGACGTGGACCACTGTGCGTGGCTCAGTTAGGTTCTTTTGAGCCCTCTTCTCAATTGAGTCTCAATGTGGCCTTCCTAGTTAGTCCTGTCCTTGCTGAGTCTTCCTAATCCAGGCTCAGCAAGAATCTTGCTGCCAGTTTAGGAAAAAGCCTTTACCCTTGATGATTACCTCTTAATAATTTTCCATCCACGGAAGAGCCCCTTACTCTGCTGTTGGCTACACATTGCCAGCTGTCTGCTGTGCTTGGAGTCAAGCTGGATTGCCCTCCCCTATTGCAATGGGGTTGAATTCTTGATTAACGTCTTCCTTAAAGGCTGGTGGAATGACTCAAGAGGAGTGCCTGCTAGCAAACATGAAGCCCTGAGTTCAAACCTCAGTGCTGCAAAAAAAATAAGTCTTACTTAGAAATGGTAATATGTTAAATTTTTCTTTACCACTGTTCTTACAAATTGTGAATCTTCTTTAAAACAAGAAACAAAAAACAAAAACCTTAGTTTAGTTTTGAATGCTGAGATAATGACTAAATGCCAAGACTCTGGGCTACTGTATTTTTGAGGGGAGGTATGTGGAGATTGGGAGGGGCCACTGCAGGGGAGGGCATCCTTGACCGGGAGGGTGGGTTACCAGGTGTTTGCCATACCACAAGCTCATTAAGCTATTTGTTTGTTTTGTGTTGCTTTCTTTATCTAGGTTTTTTAAAATAAGTTTAAAAAGCTGGGTTTTTTTTTAACTTTTTTCAAAATTTAAAGTAGTAGTTTGTATCTTTGCATTCCAGAAAACCTTTCATGTTGTATAACAAAATAGCTAAAGTTCCACATGCTCACTTCCTTCTTCTTTCCTACTGGACATGTCCTTGAGAGACTGAGAAAGTACCTGGCTGTGGTTCTTTGTCATGTTAGGATCATCCACGGGATCCCAACTCCCTCTCCTTGCACTGTGATGTCCCTTCCAGATTCCAAATTTCAACAAGAAATTTAGTGCCGGACAACAGCACTAAAGAGCAAGATCTGCAGAGGCAGGCCTACTTGAGTTGGAATTCCAGCTCTGCCACCAGCTAGCTGTGATTGTGGGCAAGAAGCATAATTCCTTCCTTGGTAAACTAGAGATAATGGCATCAAGTTGACTGGGCAATTGTGGGGGTTACCAGAGATAATTACTATAAGACAGTTCACACACACAAGATGTTGGTGGATCAGAAGAGGAAAATGAAATTAGACCTGTGGATTAGATAATATATCAGTGTTAATGTCTTGATGATTTTGGCAGTACTAGAGTTTGAATTCAGGGCCTCAAACTTCCTAGACAGGTGCTGTACCATTTTAACCACTCCACCAGCTCTGATTTGTGTTGGGGATTTTTGAGATAGGGTCTCAAAAACTATTTGCCTGAGCTGGCTTTGAACTGCCATCCTCTTGATCTCTGATTCTCAAGTGGCTGGGATTACAGAAGTGAACCCATTGCTCTGCTATCTGGCAATGTCTTAATTTTGATAACAGCACATGGTCTAAAGATTAAATAACATTTCTGTCCTGTGTTGATTTATTGATTTTGATCATTGCTGTGGTTCTATAAGAGAATGACAGTGTGATTTGAGAGAGAAAATGGTATTCCAGAGTTGGTATTCCAGGCATAGAAAAATCTGAGGAAGGAAAGCAAGTGTGGAAAGATGTTAACATTTGGGAATTGATGAATTCACTCTTTGGACTGTTTTTTTTCAACAAGTCTGAAATTACTCTAAATGGAATTATTTAAAAAGTTCTTTGAGTATGGCTAAATTCAACTCTTACCACCTTTTTCCCAGCTTACAGCTTCAATAGATGTTTTTAGCTGAACTGAGGAAAAGTGTTTAGAGCAGGGTGACCAAGTTAAGGGCAGAAGAACAAATCCAGCCCACTGACTGTTTTCTTTTTTTTTTTTTTTCCTGATGTAAATTATTTATTTATTTATTTATTTTCATTTTTCTTTTATTATTCATATGTGCATACAAGGCTTGGTTCATTTCTCCCCCCTGCCCCCACCCCCTCCCTCACCACCCACTCCACCCCCTCCCGCTCCCCCCCCTCAATACCCAGCAGAAACTATTTTGCCCTTATCTCTAATTTTGTTGTAGAGAGAGTATAAGCAATAATAGGAAGGAACAAGGGGTTTTGCTGGTTGAGATAAGGATAGCTATACAGGGCATTGACTCACATTGATTTCCTGTGAGTGTGTGTTACCTTCTAGGTTAATTCTTTTTGATCTAACCTTTTCTCTAGTACCTGGTCCCCTTTTCCTATTGGCCTCAGTTGCTTTTAAGGTATCTGCTTTAGTTTCTCTGCGTTAAGGGCAACAAATGCTAGCTAGTTTTTTAGGTGTCTTACCTATCCTCACCCCTCCCTTGTGTGCTCTCGCTTTTATCATGTGCTCATAGTCCAATCCCCTTGTTGTGTTTGCCCTTGATCTAATGTCCACATATGAGGGAGAACATACGATTTTTGGTCTTTTGGGCCAGGCTAACCTCACTCAGAATGGTGTTCTCCAATTCCATCCATTTACCAGCGAATGATAACATTTCATTCTTCTTCATGGCTGCATAAAATTCCATTGTGTATAGATACCACATTTTCTTAATCCATTCGTCCCACTGACTGTTTTCAAAGGACCTGCCAGCTAAGAACAGTTTTTACATTTTTAGGTGAAAGAAATGAAAGAATCATATGACATTTGAAAATGTGATATTTAAATGTCAGTGTCCATGAATAAAGTTTTATTGGGCACAGCCCCCTCTAATACTCTATATTCAGCTGCTTTCACATTAAATGGCAGGGTCCAGGAGTTGCAACAGGGACCCCAGGACCCACAGACCTAAAATCTGGCCCTTTCTAGTAAAGTGAGCCAAGACAATATACATTGTAGTTTGTTTCTCAGAGTTTAGCACTTGACTTTGCGTTATAGTTGAACCAGCTATATTAATATTAGCTGTTGTTAGCCTGGAGTAGTGGCTCATGCCTGTAATCCCAGCCCTCAGCAGGCTAAGGCAGGAGGATCCTGAATTTGAGGCCAGCCTGGGCTGCATATATGGTGAGACTCTGTCAAAAAAAAAAAACAAAGCTGTTGTACTGAATAGTTTATCAGCAGAGGCCTCAACAGTAGCTGAAGAACAACGCAGAGGCGAGAGATATGCTCCAAAAACACAGATGAACACTGTTCTTCTGTCCCACCATCTGCACAGAAGATAAGAATCAGCCCTGGACTCTGCCATATTTACCCTGATGCCTCCACAGAGCCATCTGTTCTGTGAATTGCATATACCAATGTCAGTTTCTGACAGCGTCAGTTTTACTTCCCTTCACACTTCCTCTGTGTGTGT